TGGGAACGAGACCCACCACATCCCCTCTCTGCTGGGGGATCTCTCCCCACCCTCCTCTTTTTGGGGTTTATTTTTGTCAGGGTTTTTCCGCCTGTGGGGTTGCGGTGGACAAACCACCTTGCTCAGGGTGAAGTCCCAAACCTGGGGGGTTCTCTGTTGTAAAGGGCTCCAGGTCTGCACCCCCACGTGTGCTCTGGGTGTCTCCTCGTCCCCAGCCCCTCAAATTAAACCAGCTGCCAGATCCGCCCTCTGTCACCCTGCCCTGACGAGCCCCGCTCCTTAACGAGCAGTCCCAGAAAGCCGCGGGGTCCTGCCGCTGCGGGGGGTCGCCGTGCTCCGCTGGGATCGCTCCGAGCGTTTCTTTGCAGGCCAAGGAGTCGTGGGAGATGGACACCAAGGAGAAGCTGGAGCAGGCTGCCATCGTCAAGGAGAAAGGCACGATGTACTTCAAGGTTTGTAAACTTGGGGCTGGCGGAGGCGGAGCGTGGGAGCTGGAAATAAATTCGGGGTGGCCGTCAGAGACGTGGCTTGGCAGTTGTCTTGAGAAGCTGTGTCCCCCCCCAAACGGTGCTGGGCCAGGCGAGTCCTGCCCTTCCTCTGCCTTTTTCTCACTCCCTGAGACACCCCCTCCTTTTCTTAAAGTCATTGCCTTCCCCTCGTGCGCTCCCCGCGGGGCGAGACGGCAGATCGGACTCTTCCCATGGGTGGATGTGGCCAGGGCTGATGCCGAGGGGCTTTGCAGTTCCCCCTCCCGGGCTGGGGCATCCTGATGCTCCTCTGCTCTGCCCAGAGGACGACCGCCAGCTCCGACTTGGCTTTTCCCAGGGGCTGCTCACCAGCAGCTCCAGCCAGGCCCCAGTGTGTCTGTAGCTCTTCGGCATCCCCCTTCCCTCCTGTGTGTGTTTAACACGCTGCGTTAAACTCCTGACCTGTTTGCAGGCTGTTTCGGGAGCAGACCGAGCGTTGTCGGCGCGGGTCCCTCTAGCCTCTTCTTCTTTGCTCCATCCCAGGAAGGCAAATACCTGCAGGCAGTGATTCAGTATGGGAAGATCGTGTCCTGGCTGGAAATGGAATACGGCTTGTCCGAAAAAGAGTCAAAAGCCTCCGACTCCTTCCTCCTGGCTGCCTTCCTCAACCTGGCCATGTGCTACCTGAAGCTGCGAGAGTACGCCAAAGCCGTCGAGTGCTGCGATAAGGTAGCGCCGCACGAGCCCGAGGGCTGGAGCGTCCTCTCCTCTTGCGTGTTTTCAGTGGGAGTTCGGGGTTTTTCGGATTTCTTACCGTGTAAGAAGCCATTTCCAAGCGGCAGTGGGATGGTGGCATCCCTTCTGCACCTCGGGCTCTCTGCGGAGGCTGCGTGCTCGGAGACTGCAGGGGCAAAAGTGCTTTTTGGGGTTCAGAATCCCCCTGGGCCTGCGCTTACAACAGCTTTTCTTCCAAAGCCGGATCCACGTGAATGGATGCTGTGTGGACCGGCAGCCTCAGGCCCCTCTTTGGGTCTGCCCAGGCTGGGTCTGGGCGTTGGGTGCTGAGCTGGGTGCGATGGAGCCGGTCTGCGCCGGCGCTGCAGCAGGTCTCCAAGTCCGTTGAGGGGCAGGATGGGGCTTTGCCGGTCCCTAAAAGAGCTGCAACCTTGTCTTTGTCAGGAAACTATTAATTCTTTTAGAAAAGGCTTAAATTTAAACATCTTGCCTATGGGGAAGATAGTGAAGCTAGTCGCCTTAATCTGAAAGGTAAATAGTCTCTGAGATGCACGTGTGGCTTTTACTAAAGGAAAATAATGTCATTGCTAAAGCAGGGTGACAAAAGCACGTTTAATCCCTACCCTGCCTTGCCTCCGAGCTCCCCGTGCTCCTCTGGGCTCAGGTTTAGCCTTTACACCTGATTTCTTGTCTGTGGGTTTGTCTCCCACCAACTCCGCCACTCTCAGGGGGATTTTAAGCAGGGAGAAATAACTAAACGATGTTAATGTTTTGTTGAGCAAGATGCAAGTGCTCTGGAGACTTGAAGCCACCCTCTCCTAATTTCGGCAGATTTAATGAGGCTTTGACTGTAAGGGGGTCTTTGGGGGATCCCCAAGTTGCTAACGGCGACCTGTGTGTTTCCAGGCACTAGGACTGGACCAGGACAACGAGAAGGGCTTGTACCGGAGGGGCGAGGCCAGGTTATTGATGAACGAGTTTGAGCTGGCAAAGTGTGACTTTCAAAAAGTGCTGGAAGTGAATCCACAGAACAAAGCAGCGAAATCCCAAATCTCCGTCTGTCAGAAGAAGACGAAGGAGCACAACGAGCGGGACCGGAGGATCTACGCCAACATGTTCACAAAGTTTGCGGAGAGGGATGCAAAGGTGCGTGTTGTCTGGTTTTGGCCACCTAGCAGGTCGGGCTGAAGGATGCTCGGCAGGTTTGCGATGAGAAGGGATGGGTTAACATGAAGGAAATTACAGATCAGGTTGAGGATGGAGGGATAGAGCCTGCTGCGGTGGTTTATTTCTTGGTCTCTCTTACGCAGAGGCTGCTGTCAGATGCTCAGTCATCAGTAAAAGCATTTGCAGTGCGAGCTCCCGAGGGCTGCTCGCAGGGTTGGCATTTGTACTTCATTTTACCGTTCCCAGCTAGTGACTGTCGATGACCTCCTGGTCGCCGGTAAAATTAAATGTCATCCCATCTCTGGCAAGGCCAAGGGTATTTTGAGACATGATAATATGGATTTCCTGAAGCTGTAAGGCAATAGCCTACTCCTCTGCTCGTACGGAGAGATCGCTGTCTCCTAACAGGCTCCCATCCAAAATTCCTCTGAACAAAACCCGCTGTCCTGTAACGGGAGAGGACGCAGCTTTGCAAGCCGTCTGCGCGGGTCATTTTTAGTATCAGCTCTTCTGAACCGGTGCCTGGAGGTTGAGGCTGTGGAATCAGCGATGGGTGCAGACCCTGGGGAGCAGCGTGCTGGAGTAACCCCCTTGGGGCCGGGAGCGGAGCCGCCCCGGCCGGCTGCTGGCACCGCGGTCTGTTGGCTCACGCAGCCAGCGGCGATGGGGGAGTCGCGGCTGGAGCAGGAGCGAGGCGTCACCTTTTTTGCGCCCGTGGCCGGGTGTCTGGGCTGCACCTGTGGCTCGGTCCCCTATCTCCACTCCTGGTCCCTCTCCTCTGTGCCCCTGCATCCATCCATCCATCCATCCATCCAGGCTCGCTCTCTGTCAGCGCCCTGCTCCCGTTGAGGTGGGTCCCACCGTTCCCAGGGGATCCCATCCCTTCCCCAAGAGCTCGCTGAGCCGATGGGGTTTAACCTCCACCAGCTGCTGAGCCAGGAAAACAGGAGCCTGTGGCGTGAGCTGTGGTGGTCGATAGGCAGCGGGGAGCCGCGGGGAGGGGGGAATTCTGCCCAAAGAGCCCAAATCCTGCTTTGCTGTCACCTCCCGGCTGCTTCCTTCTCCTGTCTCCAACTCCGTCTGCTTTATTTGCTGTTCTGCAGGAAGCCGCTAGCAAAACCGGCGCGGAGAAAGCAGCGGAGAAAGCAGCTTGTGAAAAGGGACCGAAAACTCCCAGTGCTGAGCATGAAGAGGCTGAAGGACACGTATGACGGAGGAGGAGGGGAAGGGAGAGCCTCCTGCCCTCGGCCCACGCAGAAAAAAGGTTGCTGCCAGACCTCGGGACTCGCCAGTGTTTTCTTGTAAAGCTTGTTACAGTTTGTGTGATCGTGGAAGCAAAAAAAAAAAAGCGCCTTGCAAAGAAAAAGAAACCCCGTCCCACCGCCCTGGGTGTGCTCAGGGGCAGAGCGGGAGCGGCGGGACGCCGTGGGACCACCGCACGTGGAACAAATAGCTTTTAAACGGAGAGAAAGAGAAAAAAAAACAAAAAACAAAAATAAATAAAAATTGAAACTCTTGGCTCTTGGGAGGTTTCCGTAGACAGCTCGTCCCGGCTCCCTTGGCTTCGTGTCGGCTGTCGGCGCAGCATCCTGGCTCCTCCGAGCTGAGTTGGGATGTGGGAGACGCTCCTTGTACGCTGCCGTGCTGCCTCCGGTTGTGTCCGGCCCACGACGGTGCTGCCCCGCGCCGGTGCCAGCGCCCGCTGG